CCAGCCAACTCTAGCTGTCCTTTCCCCGGTGCCACTCAGGTCCCCTTTCATCTTCTCTACCTGCAGCCAAGAGCGATCAGCCTAACTGGCAAACCAGGCCACACCACTCCTCTGGCCCTTGGCTGGACCCCTAATGCCAGGAACAGTCCAGCCCAGCTCCCCCATATCTTCATTCACTCCAGCTCCTCCCTAGTCCTCTTCACGCCCTGACCATGCCAGGACCTTGCCGTGACCACTGACTATAAGCACCCTGGGGGCCGCCACCCTCTCTCCCATCCAATCCCCCTTGGGCTTCAAGTCTCCTAAGAAGGGTCACTTCCTCGGGGAAGTCCTCTCTACTGCAATGATGTGCCCTATCATGAGATCATGAGCTCCATGAGGTCAAGCACCACGTCTAGCCTGGGGTGGGTGCGAGTCAACACCTGTCAAACAAATGGACAGATGAATGAATAGTAATGACTTCCCCAATTGGCCCATTGGGGATCTGTGGGATCCTGGGAAGCACCCGTCCCTGATCTGCATGGCTCTGCTGGCTCTGTGGTGCCCACCAGGCGCACTGCGCCCACCCCATGGGGAGCTCCATGGAAGCGGGGATGTCTGGTCCCGCTCTCCTCTGAATGCCCAGGACCAAGAGGATGCTCGGTAAACGTGGCCTCCTCCTCCCTCCTGCTCTGATGGAAAGTGGATGCCTGCCCACTTCAGGGACCAACATCACCTCCGCATCCCCGTTCCCTCAGACCCAAGGGATGAAGTGTGTGTCATGTCCACACTGCTCTCCCTCCACACCAAGATGTGCGTGAGAGCAGACCTTGCCAGAGAGCAGACTCCGGTGGCATTCCAGGTGGCTTGCCAGGCCTGGGCACAGGGCCTCCAGCTGCAGAGCTGGCCTGTCCAAGGCCTCCTGCATGCCCAAAACATCTCAAACAACCCTCCAAGGGCTCCCATCCTGGCCCACGGAGGGAAGGCGTCCAGGGTCAAGGCCTGGCCCTTGGAGGGGAGGCAGTGCCTATACTGGGAGCAGGCGTGCCCTCCTTCAACAGGTTGCCCAAATAAAAATCCCACCGAAGAGACAATTGAGGATTCAAAGTGGCCAAAGAAAAAAAGAAGGGGGCAAGGCATTTCCAAGTCATACAGTCTGCTTCTTCTTGGACAGCCTGGCACCCAAGTCCAGAGCAGGAGGAGCCCCTCCTCTCTTTCTGGACCTACCTGCCCTCTTCATGCAAAGAGGGGTACTGAGGCACAGGGGACAGAGATCAGGGCCAGACCAGCATCCACCCTGCTGTGCCATTAGCTCTTCCCATGAAGTGACCTGAACAAGTGCTTTCTCTGCCCTTGGCCTCAGTTTGCTCATCCGCTGGCTGAGGAGGCACAGCACTCTCTGCCCGTCTCCTCCAGAGAAGACTTGTAAAGTAAATCAGCACCTCCCTCTCGCTCCCTCCCTGGCACTACCAGCCACATGCAGGGGGCAGGCCACAGGACCAGTGCCAGCTAGGCGCAGAGACCTCTCAGGAAGTTTGCGATTCTTCCTTCCTGAAGGACAGACTGGCTCAAGGCTGAAAGCCTGCTGCTCCCAGCCTGTCCTGGGCAGACCACAGCCCGGCCCACTGCTTCTCGACTCACCAGACTTGGTTGGCACCTCTGCATCCCTCTCAAGACCCCTGGGAAAGCCTCCCAGATGCCATTTGGATGTATCTGCCTGGAAGGCCTCCGGGCAGGGACCTTGGCAAATGCCCACTGTGCCGCAGTGCCAGCCCGGCCTGGCACCAAATCTACCGCAGTGACTTCAGCCCCACCCCCACCTATACTTCCAGGACCCCTTATCCTCAGATCTCACAAGATTAGCTCAGTGCCTCCAATCCACTGAAAAGAACCTTCTTCAAAGTTCTAAGGACATCACATGGTGCTATAGCTGCTTCCAGCCCTCTGCCGCCAAGGCAAGACAGGCCCTTTGGAGCTGGACTTACCCAAATTTAAATCACAGCTCTGCCACTTCCCAGCTATGTGACACGGGCCCATCACTTTAGGTCTCCTGACCCTAGTTAACTCATCAGCTCATGGAGTGGTTCGAGGACACAACTGATCATGAATTCGAGGTGCTCCGCAGGTGCCTGGCATACAGTAAGTGCACAATCAAAGGAAGTTTAAACCCTAATGATAAAAGGGTTATTTTCCCAATTGTATTATCAGCTGGGTGACCTATGGCATGTGGCTTCACCTCTCTGGCCTTGGTGTCTCTGCAGGTGGCCAAGAGGATTACCGGACATACCATTTGCAAAACTCTCGGCATGGTGCCTGGCACATAGCACAGGAACTCAGAACATGGTAGCTGTGAGGATTACAGTTCGTAAGGAGGCCTCAGAAAGAGGACGCTGGGAACAGCACGACGAACCACCTGTTCTACCTGTTCAAAGTGGGTCAGGCTGGAGCTGTGTAAGCGGCTGTTGCCATGGCACCCAACACAGAGGGAAACACTCAGCTAGGAAGGCTGGTGCTGCAGAGGTGAGGCCTTGGGCCTGCTTCACTCAGACACCACCCATGACGACGCCACCTGTCTCCGAGCCACCTCCGGAATCCCTGGGGTTGGGGTGAGTATGCTACTGGACCTGGGTCCAGGATCTAAGCAGTCCCATCACCCCTGACCCTACCCCAACTCCAAAGTATTAGGGCCTTGGCCATCTGGAGTGGTAGGCTGTGAGGCAGGGCTCCCAGGCTGCAGACCAGGGTAGTAGGATGGGAGTGGAGCGGGTAAAAAACAAACAAACCCAAGAACCTCATCTCCTGAGCAGAATCTAAAGCAGCTCTAAAGCAGCCTCAGGTCCAAATGTCGCTGTCTGCTCCCTCCAGCCACACCTGCACAGCAGCAAACAGGTACTGGAGCCCGATAAGTGCCCAACCCTGGGGGGGCTCAATGTCAGCTCCTCCCTCTTCAGCCCCCGCTCAGGTTTCATCCAAGATGAGGGCTGGGAAGGGCTGTTCGGGCTCAGTTGGGTTCAGGGAATCTATGGCCCTTTGCCAGGAGGGAAGAAGGGGAGGCAGAGGTGAAATCCAGACTCCATGGGCCAAGACTTGGAACTTTCCAGACTTTCCTGGATGAGAGGGCAGGTTTAGGGAAATGGAAAGACTGACAAGGTAGGGTGACAGTGGCCCCAGGGCCTGGGAGGCCAGGAGAGACCTCAACCTGAGGCTGAATAACAATTCCTCAGAGGAGTCCAAGACCCTGGCCCCCACCCCCAGCTCACAGGTAGGTCCCCTGCAGACTCTAGCAGGTCCCCCACCTAAGACCTGGGTGGGGTCAGGGGCTGGGGCCCCTTGGCCATAGAAACCACGACTGCCACAACAATTTGCCTAAGCTGCACATGATATGGTATATACATTACCCACGCCCTCTCACAACCCCAAGGGTGCACATGACCTCTCCCATTTCACAGGAAAAGAAACTAAGGCTCAAAGGCAGAACAGGAGTGGTTAAAAGCATATCCTGAGCTTGAATCTGAACTCTGCTGTAATAACTCAGGCAAGTGAGTTTACTCCCTCTCTGGCCTGTTTCCACCTCTGTAAAATGGGGACAATAATCCTACAGGTCCCCGCAATCCAACCTTCACAGCGCAGTCAAAGGTTAAGTGAGAGGTGCTAGTAAAACGGGGAGCACAGCACCCAGCCAGTGAGTGGTAGACCCCAGGCCCTAGCTGTGAGCACAGCCCTTTCCCTGAATCCTTGGGCTGCTGTGTGGGTGGCCTGGGATCACAGGCTTCCCAGGCAACGGAGTATGCCACCCCCACCCTACCACCCCCACGGTAATGGGCCGCCCTTGTCTGAATTCCTCAGATAAGCAGCTCTCTGGTAGATTGGGGAACTCAGGCCTGAGCGGGCCCAAATGACTGAAAAGGTACCCCACCCTGTCCACACGAGATTCCTAAATCTGGGTTAGGCTGTGTGGCTCTCCTCCCCTGATCACCAGATACATCCAACAGGTCTCCAAACAGGCCAAGTTCAGTGGACAACTGCCTCCTGAGCGGTCCCTGGCAAGCCACTTACTTTCCCTTTCTGGGCCTCAGTTTCTCCATCTATAACAGGCATCCCATCTCAGAACTGTGATGCAGCTCCAGCTACGTGGGCCCACAAGGAGGCCTAAGGGGCAGAGGGACAGACCAAGGAAGGGAACCAGTGTGTCCTAGGCAATGGGCCAGGCCCTGCAGCACCTTCTATCTACTGAAATGTCTCCATAACTCTCTGACAGAGGCCTGTATTGGGCCCAGAAAGTGACAGGCTAGGCCTCTAACCACCATCTGTCAGACTCCAGAGCACTCTCCCAGGTGGGCCAGGGCTATGTGATCCCAGGTGGGCCCAAGTCAGTGGGTGCAGCTTGAGAACTCGGTAACCCTCAGCAATGAGCTGGGCAGCTGGACCAGCAAGATGAGGAAGAACATAAAATCAAAGTTGACCAAGTCTCTTTCAAAGAGGGCTGCAGCCTCCTTGACAAGGACATTTGCAATGCAAAGCAGCCCAGCTTCAGCCAGAAGAGGACAGTCACTCAGAGGGAGCTGGGCAGGCCAAAATCCAGCCACCTCCCTCCAGCCAGACACGGAGTGCCTGGGAACCTGTGGCTGGCTGACCCAGGCTCTAAATCATGACAGCCCTAGTGGCGAGCTGGGTTCCAGGTGGCCTGGAACATCCTTCCCCATCTCAGCCCCTCAAGGCACAAACCCCTCTGAGCCCTTTGTGCAAGTCTGCAGAATGGGCCTACCTGAGGGCCCCAAGAGGAGGCTGAAAGAATAGACCCACAGATACCTGGCAGGTCACCTGCAGACGGGTGCCGGCATCCAGCCAGCTTCCTCAGGCCCAGACCTCCCAGATCGTTCAGCCCTGCCTTGTGCAAACCTGCCCCAAACACACATAATCCTCAGGACTCTGGGCCCCAAGGGGCGCCTCTACACCCGTCTAATGGCTAGATCTTGTTCATCAACCCCGTCCTCTGCAGGTGCGACTACCCCAGCTCCTACCTTGACGACAAACTGACAAAATCCCCGCCATCCAGCAGTCGGACCTTGCAGAAGAGAACCCCGTTCACGAAGGGAACCGCCGTCAGCTCCTCCAGGGTGAAAGTGGTTTGAAATTTGAATTTCTTCTTCTTCATCAAGAAAGCCATGAGCGAGTTCCCTGAGTCTGAAGCCCCGAAGGCCCAAAAAAGGGGAGCCAGAAATCCCCAGGATTCCTTTCCCTACACCACACCCCCTCCTCAAAACACCAGAGCCGGATCCCGCCCAGATGGTGGCGGAGGCGGCAGAGCAAGCGAGGATCTGAGATCGGAGGGCCCAGGTCTGAGTGACCAGTCCAGTTCGCGGGCCGTCTGGCTTCACCCTCGGGGAGCCGGGGCTCGGAGGGGCTCAGAGTGGCGGGAGGCTTCAGCGGCATGTAAACAGCGGGGCATGGCCCCAGAGGCAAGGACAGGAGTGGCTGGCAGCACGCGAGCAGCCGCGCCGGCGGGCAGCATCCCGAGCCACGGTCCCCTGGGAGCTCAC